TATGGGGATCTCGATCCATTGAAAATTAGAAATGCACAAGAGCAGGATGTTTCTCTGAAAAGGGTACGTGAAAATGTACTCAGATGAAAAAAATGGTAAGGTGAGTTGGTTAAAGAAAAATGAACTTACGTACAGACAATACACCACTCGCACTGAAGGACAAGACAAGGTGTATACACAGTTGTTTGTTCCTGCAGAGTTTCGGGACCAGATAATGAAACTATCACATGACTCTTTGTTGGTGGGTCATAGCGGACCTTAGTAAGAGGTATTCTGGCCAGGGATGAATAGACACAGCGGACCTTAGCAAGAGGTATTCTGACAGGGATGTATAGACACAGCGGACCTTAGTAAGAGGTATTCTGACCAGGGATGTATAGACACAGCGGACCTTAGTAAGAGGTATTCAGGCCAGGGATGTATAGACACAGCGGACCTTAGTAAGAGGTGTTCTGGCCAGGGATGTATAGACACAGCGGACCTTAGTAAGAGGTGTTCTGGCCAGGGATGTATAGACACAGCGGACCTTAGTAAGAGGTATTCTGGCCAGGGATGTATAGACACAGCGGACCTTAGTAAGAGGTATTCTGGCCAGGGATGTATAGACACAGCGGACCTTAGTAAGAGGTATTCTGACCAGGGATGTATAGACACAGCGGACCTTAGTAAGAGGTGTTCTGGCCAGGGATGTATAGACACAGCGGACCTTAGTAAGAGGTATTCAGGCCAGGGATGTATAGACACAGCGGACCTTAGTAAGAGGTATTCTGGCCAGGGATGTATAGACACAGCGGACCTTAGTAAGAGGTATTCTGGCCAGGGATGTATAGACACATACTGCATCTATAAAAAATATTTACTGGAAAGAAAAATACTCAAATTATGAAGCTTTTCACTTATAACTGGAAGTTGTTTTCTTTGTTTCCGGTGTAACTGACTTATTTCAAAACTACAAATAAGATACTATTATATGGTTAAAAAAGTTTCCATAAGGGAAAGTTGAATTTTTGGACTTCTTTGATCACTCCCTGTGACGACCGGAAGTGACGACAGACGATCTTATCCACGATGAAATTGCTAACTCATCAGGAAATACCACTTGTCAAAGTTTGGTTTCTTAATCTCTTACTGTTTAAGAGATCTAGCTATAATAATTTCTCATTTTGAGGACAGGAAATCACACGCAACCGGAAGTGAATTATAAAAAAATAGTTGATGTTACTGTAGACATTTGCAGTCTGAATAACATATCCAAGACAGTTGCAAACACTTTATCTATAAAAAATATATATTGGAAAGAAAATATTCAAATTATTTAATTTTTCTCTTATAACCGGAAGTTGTCGTTTTTGTTTCCGGTGGAGCTGATATATTTTGAAACTACAAATAAAGCGCTATAATGTGATGCAATAAACGTTCCATAAAAGAAAAAATGAAATTTCCGATTTTTTTACCACTGCCTGTGGCGACCGGAAGTGACGGCGGACAATCATTACCCATATGTTTTTCCTTTTTCGTCAAGATATACCACTCCTATAATTTTGGTGTCTACATCTCTTACCGTTTCAGAGATATAGCTATAAGAAATATTCATTTTTGAGAACAGGAAATCACGCGACCGGAAGTGAATTTTCCAAAGATATTTGGCGTTACTGTAGTCATTTGCAGTCTGAATAACATATTTTTTGAAAATCATTTCGAAAACTTTATCTATAAAAAATATTTATGGGAAAGAAAAATACTGAAAATATGCAGTTTTTCTCTTATAACCGGAAGTTGTCGTTTTTGTTTCCGGTGGGACTGACATATTTCGAAACTACGAGTAAGATGCTATAATCTGATGCTAAAAAACTTTCAAAAAAGAAAAGTTGAAATTTTCGCTATTTAAAGAGCGGGTCCTGGCACTTTTTGCGTATTTTTTATATATGAGTTTTTTCTCCGTATATTAATGATATATATTTATTGGTCAATTCTTTAAGTATATAACATTCAAAAACTAGATTTTTTAGTGTTTTTTTTTTGTTAAAATAAGAAAATTGTAATCCGGTGAAATCTTCGGCTCGTTCCGTAAATCGCGCCTCCAGAGATCGGATGTGACGTCACACCAAGAACACGAGGAAAGATGGTGCGAAGATGTGTGGTTGGTGGGTGCAGTAATACCAACATTAATTCATCCCTGCACGAGTTCCCATCAGACCTAAATGTAAGAAAAAAGTGGGACAGGTTCGTTTCCTCCACACGGAAAGATTGGAAGCGTGGGGTAAATACATCAGTTATTTGCGGAGACCACTTTATAGCCCCATCAGACTTCGAGGGTTACCAACAATGGCGGAGTGGGTTTAAGAAAAAGCTGACACTCAGGCCTGGGGCTGTACCAACCATCCGTTCCCCATCATCGTCAAAGCCTGAACAACAACGACGGGCTGTACAAAAGCTTAATATATCAAGGGTAAGACAAAATAAAGTATTTTGAAATGTAGGATAAACATGTTCGCAGGGTTCAATATCCATGCATGTCACAAGTACCCAAATTTAGATGAGATATCAACTTCAATGAATGAAAAAATACATTTACATACAAAACGTAATGGAGACTTATATATTTTAAGTAGAAACTCCAAAGATAAGTAATGATTGATTTCTTTAACAGTTGTTTGATGGCGCGTTATCGGGACACACTCATGACACTGAAACTGTAAACCTAGAAGTCTGTGAAAGGTTGTCACAAGCAGGTGCTTCCACTGTAAGTCCAATATGATTGATTGAGTGTGCAATAGGAAAAATATTAATAAAGTAAAAGATAAATTATCTGGAGATTTAAAACAGACATATATTTCTCCCATCTGTCATCTGATCTGATTCATGATTGATAAAGCAATTGCAAATTGCTCACAAACTTTTTGTTTGAATATGTTCAGTGTTGGTCAAGTTTTATAATTGGAGTGCATCAATACCAAAATGACAAGTTCTAAATGTTGATGCACTAGAATACTGGTTTACTGCAAGCAGCATTTATTAGATTTAAAGATTGTGAAAGGAATATCCCATAGCTGATATCCTAGATAGTAAAATTAAATACAATCTAATTTGAATTAGGTTGTAAATCCTCTAGTGGACTCGCTTCTAGCATACTCGCTACACTAACATCGCTAGTGAAGCTACACTAACATCGTTAATGAAGCAAGTATGTGAGCAAATCTAAAAAAAATATTCTAATTAAGATTGAATCTAATATAGCGTATGCCTAAAATATAAATTTAAGAGTTGTGTTAATTTTAATACCTTTACTTTGTTATTTAAAGAACTGCACTATTTACAGGTTTCCAATAACATGCCACATCAAGTTGTATGTTCACTTGAGCCAAATAAAGCACAGGATACAGTAAGTTATTGACATATTTAATAGATAAATTGCAGATCCAACTCATTATAATAGAGTTTTTGCCTTGTAAAATTCACTCTTAAAAGTATAGATTATATAATAATAATAAGCTTCATTTCTAAAACCATCAGTGCTCCAAGTCACACTTGCTCTCAGGTCGCAAAATGGTGACCTAAAAATTTTTTTGGTCGCCATTTCAGAATTTCTGTTCTCCATAAACAAATATTTCACTCGCCATAAAAATATACAATTTGTGAATAAAACTTGATAATTTAAATAAGGATAAGTATTATGTCTTTATTATATCATAAGTTACTTACTACTGTGACTATAAAAATTTGCTAGGTTGAATGAAATATTTTTATTGAATACATGTACCCTTATAGTTGTACAGAAGAACACAAGTAATCTGATTACAGGAATAAAATTTTTTCAAATGAAAATACAAGCTTGACAGCTGTTTAGACAGGACTTTGCATGCTGTTTGTCATGTTTACTTACTACTACGTACCTAACCCATTACACAGTCATTATAAATGCCGCCAAAACACTCTTTATTAGCATGATAATACAATCATGATTCATTGTGATATGCAAGCAATTGATCAAATGCTTCAATAACAAGGTCTGATCTTAAAAAGTGCCATGCTGTCATAACATTACGTGATTTAAGTCCATGCAAAGCTTTGTAAAGTGTATTAAAGTATATGTCTACAAACATTTTCTTGATAGAGAATCTTTACAAAAGAATTTTCGATCCCGATCTTAAAAATTGGACGTTTCCAGCCCAAATTTTCTCAGTCGCGAAAATGAAAGTGTGTTTTCATTTCTAGTCGCAAAATCAATTTTTTGGTCGCAACTTGGAGCACTGACCATTTTTGCTAGTTTCATGCTGACACTTTTAAATTTTTAATAGAGTTAAAGCAATTTTTATAGGCTGTATGTACAGATGAAACTGTAGACTTTCCTGTTGATGACCCCCCTAAAAAACAGTCGAGGGGAACACAGTTGGGATTGAAAAGAGAGAGCTACAGAAGTATAGGTAAAGTAGTGTGTTGTGGATGTTGTAAATCAAAACTTTTTTTCTGATCACAGAGCCAAGGGTGTAAGTTTATTGTTTGTCTTAATTAAATGGGGGGGGGGTCCATGTCTGTTATATTAAGATTGAAGAGTCTTATATCATGGGATACAAATATAAAACATTACACCTTTTTTTAGGAATTCAGGTAGACATGTCTGAGAAGTGCGAGACCTGTGATGTTGGTGTTCAGTGTGGGGAGGAGGAACAAATGGAGGATTTTATGGATGATAATATCTTCGACAACATCGCAGACCAGAGTTCTGACACTGAAAGCTCCACTCATGACATACAAAATGATGAAAAGTAAGTTAAAGTACACATGTTAAGCTGAATTTAAAAATTCATCTATAATACCCACTGGCCACTGCTACACATTATAGCTGCAAGGATTTGTGCTACTAGACTTTAAAGAGCTTTTATAGTTAAATATTTTATGGTTAAAAGATTTGAGGTCTGTCTCTGTTTTTCTGTTTGGAAATTTTTACATTTTTTTTTCAAAGCCTCTCAAGACAGATAATTATCTTTTGTAGTACTGAAGAACTGCCAATGGAGGAGCCAGAACCTTGCCATCTTGAGGAAAAGTTTTTAGTATTTAAATGGCAGCTTCTACAACTATTTCAGTATTGCCCAAAGTGTCATCTTCCAGCTCGTGGCATTGTCGATAAGAGAGTTGGAACTTGCATTCATATAGTGCAGAAGTGCTCTGCGTGTAACTTTGTCAATAATTGGGCAAGTCAACCTTATATTGGCAAAATGCCAGCTGGAAATCTTCTTCTTTCAGGTAAGGCTGTATCAATAATATATATCAAATTTTCGATACTTATCAATATTCAAGAACATAGTATGGAAAAAATAACTTAACTTGAAATGGGTTTTAAAACAGTTTTTTTTTTTTTTTATAAAATTCATGCATTGAATGAATTGCATTGTGTAAGACTTTTTTGATATACTTGTTAAAGAATAAAATAAATCAGATATTACATTATAAAATATATATTATATCGAATTTTTGTACTCAATACACAGCCCTACTTTCAGGTTCCATTTTATATTCTGGCAGTCTAAGCAGCAAATGCCTTCTAATGTTCAAGTTGTTGAATATGGCTTGTTTTGGACGCAGTACATTTTTTAGGTAAGAATTACTTTTCAATGTGTGAGAAACTTGATTGGTTTATAGTCAATGTCTTATCTGGGTCATTTATCAAGGTGATTGTTGATTTATCAATTATATTTGGGATGAGATGATTTAATATAACATTTCACGAGCACACTTTATCAAACATTCCAGTTCTAAGTTGTTGGGCAAATCCTGGAAGTTTAAAATTTATAAATATTTTGGATTTTCTCTTCTGCATGATGGTACAATTTATAATATTTATGAACTTCATCTTTAGGCATCAACAACAGTATGTTTTGCCAACAGTTGTGCTACATTGGAAGCAGGCACAGAGTACTATTATTGCAGACTTAAAGTCACAGAACAGAGGGTTGGTGCTTGCTGGTGATGGACGCTCAGACAGCCCTGGTCATTGTGCAAAATATGGTGCATTTACTTTCATTGAAACCAAGATCAACAAAGTTCTAGACATTCAACAAGTTCAGGTACTTTTATATATTATCATTATATTGATTTATTCTTTTTTTTTTATTTTATTTATTTATTTTTTTTGCAAGGTTATAAAATTTTGATATTAGGCCAAGTAAATTTAAAATTTTGGTTTTCAGACCCACGCCATCTGATTTGCAGTAGCGACATTCCAAATTTTATTTTATTGATTAAAATGCAAAGTTGGTTATTATTTCCTATTAGCATTTGCAAAGAAACTTGGCTACCTCATTTGAAAATACATTAGAAGATAAAGCTTATGATGTTCAAATTTTGATAATGAATAATGCAAACCTAATGATTAGACATGAACAGTATGGAATGTAAATCTATGATCAAAGAATTTTTCTCATTATTTTATAGATAATTGGATACTTATCACCATTAAAATGATTTAAAATAAAATCCTCTCTCCCAAATTGAACTGAGAACCAGGGAATTTTATTTATGTAGCCTAAAAACTGAATTTACTCTGTTCGAATTTCTTCTTCATAGTTCGTGTTGTTATTGAGAATTTTTGGTGGCACAAACACTTACATGTCAAATTAATGCTGAAATCTTTCAAGGTGATTGAAAATACGATTGAGCATTGCACATTTATCTGAATGAATTAAACTGTCACTTCATTCTTATTCAGTTGTGGGGGGGGGGTGTAAAAAGTTATTTATTCTGGCTTGTAAGGTTTTGCCATCAAAAGCCTGATTGGTCTTGTGAGGTAAAAATTTGATGCATACTTCTTGTGTTGAAAAGTTTTGGCATGATACTAAAACCTTTGTTTTTTTCTAGACTTGATTTTGTTCACCTTTATTTTCTGGAACAACTACATGTAAATCTTAATCAGGTATGTTTATCACATGTGTGTTTCTCTAAGTTATGCATAATCTACCTCTTGAGTGATATGGAAGGACTATAGAATAGTTCTTGCTATTTTCAGTGAATGAGCCAGTATGTTTATTATACCCGCACTTTCGAAAGAAAGTTCGGGTATATTGTTGTTACTCATGTCCGTCCGTCCGTCCGTCCGTCCGTCCGTCTGTCACACTTTTCTTCCCTGAACTCCTCCTACATTTTTCACAGTAGCTTAATCATCCTTTGGGAGATGGTTAGGGGTGTCATGTAGATGTGCAGTAAGGTTTCGGAATTTTGATTTTGCCCCGGGGGATCAAATGGGGGTCGAAAAATGACGTTTTTTATGCAAAAAGCCCCTTCTTCCCTGAACTCCTCCTACATTTTTCACAGTAGCTTAATCATCCTTTGGGAGATGGTTGGGGGTGTCATGTAGATGTGCAGTAAGGTTTCGGAATTTTGATTTTGCCCCGGGGGATCAAATGGGGGACGAAAAAAGACGTTTTTTATACAAAAAGCCCCTTCTTCCCTGAACTCCTCCTACATTTTTCACAGTAGCTTTATCATCCTTTGGGAGATGGTTGGGGGTGTCATGTAGATGTGCAGTAAGGTTTCGGAATTTTGATTTTGCCCCGGGGGATCAAATGGGGGTCGAAAAATGACGTTTTTTAAACAAAAAGCCCCTTCTTCCCTGAACTCCTCCTACATTTTTCAAAGTAGCTTAAACATCCTTTGGGAGATGGTTGGGGGTGTCATGTAGGTGTGCAGTAAGGTTTCGGAATTTAGATTTTGCCCTGGGAGATCAAATGGGGGTCGAAAAATGATGTTTTTTATGCAAAAAGCCCCTTCTTCCCTGAACTCCTCCTACATTTTTCACAGTAGCTTAATCATCTTTTGGGAGATGGTTGGGGGTGTCATGTAGATGTGCAGTAAGGTTTCAGAATTTTGATTTTGCCCTGGGGGATCAAATGGGGATCGAAAAATGACGTTTTTTTTATACAAAAAGCCCCTTCTTCCCTGAACTCCTCCTACATTTCTCACAGTAGCTTAATCATCCTTTGGGAGATGGTTGGGGGTGTCATGTAGATGTGCAGTAAGGTTTCAGAATTTTGATTTTGACCCGGGGGGTCAAATGGGGGTCGAAAAATGACGTTTTTCATACAAAGAGCCCTGGTTTTCCCTGAACTCCTCTTACATTTTACTCAGCAGCCTAATCATCATTTTGGAGATGGTTGGTGGTGTCATGTAGATGTGCAGTAAGGTTTCGGAATTTTGATGTTGCCCAGGTGGGTCAATTGGGGGTTGAAAAATTATGTTTTTCATACAAAGAGCCGTGTTTTCCCTGAACTCCTCTTACATTTTACTCAGCAGCCTAATCATCTTTTGGGAGATGGTTGGTGGGGTCATGTAGATATGCAGTAAGGTTTTGGAATTTAGATTTTGCCCCGGGGGGTCAAATGTGGGTTGGAAAATGATGTTTTTTGTGCAAAAAGCCCTGTCTTACTTGAAGTCTTCCTTAATGTTACTCAGCAGCTTAATAATCTTTTAGGAGGGTTAAATATTTTGAAAATTATGTAAAACATCAATGTCAAGGGGTAACAAGATCTGTTTGTGAAATACTATGCGCCCCGTGTCAACAAAGTACGAAAAGCTATTTTTAGCATATAGGTCACAGTCAAGGTCACAAGGTCATTGACCTTGGTGTTGTTTGTAAGAACTTTATTAGTGGGGTATGCATACTAAATATGAAGTTGTTATCTCCTATGGTTCAAAACTTATGGTAAAAAGTAGAAAAAGCTATTTTCAGTATGAAGGTCACAGTTAAGATTACATGGTCATTGACCTTGGTGTTGATTGAAAGAACTTTATTAGTGGAGTATGCATACTAAATATGAAGTCCCTATCTCTTATGGTTCAAAAGTTATGGCAAAAAGTGGAAAAAAGCTATTTTTAGCATATAGGTCACAGTCAAGGTCACAAGGTCATTGACCTTCATCTCATTTGAAGGAACTTTATCAGTGCAGTATGCATACCAAATATGAAGTCTCTATCTCCTATGGTTCAAAGGTTACGACAAAAAGTGGAAAAAGCCATTTTTAGTATAAAGGTCACATGGTCATTGACCTTGGTGTCATATTTGAAAGAACTTAATTAGTGGAGTGTGCATGTACCAAAATTAATATGAAGTCACCATCTCCTATGGTTCAAAAGTCATGTCGAAGGTACATAAAAACTATTTTTAGCATACATGTCACAGTCAAGGTCAAAAGGTCATTGACCTTGATGTCATTTGAAAGAGCTTAAGTAGTGGAGTATGCATACCGAATATGAAGTTTCTATCTCTTACGGTTCAAAAGTTTTGGCGAAGGTTAAACTTGACAACAGATAAACAGACAAAAGACAGGACAAAAACAATATGCGCCCCAAAAAATTCCGGCGCATAAAAAAAACATTGCATGCATGGAAACACCTTGAATTCTTATGATTAATTTATGTACATGTCAAATGTGAGAGTCATATCTCATCTCAATCAAAAGTTATAAGCAAATGCAACATTTTTGAAAAGTAGGTTAGGCTTGATCGCTTCAAGGTCAAGGTCACAGTGTAAAAGTATTTGGAAAGGTCTTATCACAGGTAATAATAAACATGCATTATGATATGAATGCCCTAACTTTTCTTTTTCATAATGATGAATTTATAACAACTTAATTTTTTTGCAAGTTGGTCAAACTTCTAGGTCACATGTAAAAAAATGATAACCATGCCATTCTCACAGGTAAATATACTAATAATAAGTTTAATATGAATGTCTCTTCTCATTCAGTAGATATGACCGTGATAACCAAGATTAATTTTTTTGAGACAGATGGACTGAGTCTGACATACAAATGTACATATTTCTATATGAATTGGGTAAAATTGGCCCAGTGGTTCTAGAGAAGTTAAAAATGTAAAAAGTTTTCAGACAAACAGATGGACAACACGTCATGACAGACATTATATGCTAAGAAAACAAAAAAAGCTCAAATGAGTGTTTTGAAAGGGTTACAATATGGTTGGAGTATTTGAAAAGCTGTTTTTTTTTCTGCAGAGATATGCATGACCAACATATTTATGTTTTATATTTTCTTTAGTAATTTGTTTGTTGTGAGTACATCTTCCCTCATATGGAGACACCACCAAATAATAATGAAGATAAGATGTGTTTGTGAAACACTGATGTCCCAGTATGGAAGCCTATGGCGAAGGTTGAAGTTTCTCAAATATATGTCAAACTCAAAGGTCAAGGGTTCAAATTGTTAGTATCAGAAGAAAGTCTTGTCACAAGGAATGCACATGTTAAATAAAGAAATCTCTAGTAATTCCTGTTCAAAGTTAATTGTCAAGGTTAATTTTTTTTTTTAAGTGGTTCAAACTCTAGGGTAAAGGTCAAACATATTTATACCTGTTGACAGTTCACAATGAATACAATATGTCATGATAAGTATGAAAGCCTTAGCACCTACTGATCAAAAATTAGGCAGAGTTTAAAGTTTGATATTTTTCTTGTAACAAGAGGCCCATGGGCCACATCGCTCACCTGAGAAGCTTTGACCATTCTCTACTTAAGTTTCAGCTTTTCTGGCACAGTTTTTATTAAGATTTTCAAAGCTTTTTCCTATATATTCCTATGTAAAACTTTGATTCCCCATTGTGGCCCCGCCCTTCCCCCGGGGGTCATGATTTGAACAATTTAGAATCTACACTACCCCAGGATGCTTCCATATAAGTTTCAGCTTTTCTGGCACAGTGGTTCTTGAGAAGAAGATTTTCAAAGATTTTTCCTATATATTTCTATGTAAACTTTGATTCCCCATTGTGGCCCCGCCTGATCCCCGGGGGTCATGATTTGAACAATTTAGAATCTACACTACCCCAGAATGTTTCCATATAAGTTTCAGCATTTCACGCACAGTGGTTCTTAAGAAGAAGATTTTCAAAGATTTTTCCTATATATTTCTATGTAAAACTTTGATTCCCCATTGTGGTCCCGCCTGATCCCCGGGGGTCATGATTTGAACAATTTAGAATCTACACTACCCCAGGATATTTCCACATAAGTTTCAGCATTTCAGGCACAGTTGTTCTTGAGAAGAAGATTTTCAAAGATTTTTCCTATATATTTCTATGTAAAACTTTGATTCCCCATTGTGGCCCCGCCCAATCCCCGGGGTTCATGATTTGAACAATTTAGAATATACACTACCCCAGGATGCTTCCACATAAGTTTCAGCTTTTCTGGCCTAGTGGTTCTTGAGAAGAAGATTTTTTAATGACCCCACCCTATTTTTGTATTTTCTTGATTATCTCCCCTTGCGAGGGGATATGTCCCTTCATTTTAACAATTTAAATTCCCCTTTACCCAAGGATGCTTTGTACCAAGTTTGGTCAAAATTGGCCCAGTGGTTCTTGAGAAGAAGTCGAAAATGTGAAAAGTTTACGGACGGACAGACAGACGGACGGACGGACGGACGACGGACACAATGTGATCAGAAAAGCTCACTTGAGCCTTCGGCTCAGGTGAGCTAAAAATGTGTATCCCATGTCAAGCGATCAGAGGTAAAAATTAATGGTACCCAAATAAAAGGTCTTATTAAATTGTCACAAGAAATAAACCTATAAAATGTGGAAGCTATATGTATAGCCCATCCCACTTAAAACTTATTGGCAAGCTAGCTAGGATTTAATTTTTGCAGACTTATAGACAGACATACTATAAACACAAGAAACAAAATATGTATGGAAAAAAAATATACTATTAAACTGGAATCACAAAATAGATTGTTATTTCAGGGACAGGAAGTGGGTAGGAAGATTGGAATCCCCCCATCTGGCATTTGCTTTGTTATTTAAACAAGACTACATATACTGTAGCAAGTAAAAAATGACTCTTGACATCCTCTCCCTAAAAACTTAGAAAACATTGACCTCACTATCATTGTTTTTTTATTTGTTTTCATTTTTTTTCTCCTGCTTGTCACGAAATTCTGGGCTGGAATTTTTTAAATGAGATGTGAACCCCCCTCCCTACTCCCGAAAAAAATTCTGGATCCGCACCACTATTGGCAGTAACTGAATGTCACATCGACAACGGGAGATAACTTCACAATATGAAATTCGTCTAGTGTGGCATGGGATGATCTTTGACCCTTTCTAAACTTTAACCTAATCGTTGACTTCTACTTACCGACCCCCTGTGTCTCGTAAACTTCATGAAATATAAATCCAATTAAAACACAAAATGAATTAATCCAATGCACACTAGACTGCAACCATGTGCCATTTTGGCGAACTTTCATCGATTCCGCCACCTTATCAGATGAAGTGGGAATCGGCCGAGGTGTGCCAAATGGTGTTTAATCTATAAATATCATAATGGGTGACGCAACGTGATGTAATGTAGAAATTTACCTGTTCACATGTATAGTACAAGAACAAATTATAAATTAATTCATTAATTACAAACGATAGTAAATTTAAAAAGGTCCTATTATGAGCAAAACATATATCACAATCTAATTTCAGACGCGGATCCAGAATTTTTTTCCAGGGGGGGGGGGGGGGTCCACCTAAGTAAAAAAAAATCCTATCCCAAAAATTGACAATAAAAAAAACCTAAAGTAAATCTCACCCTAACGTCAAAAACCTATATCGTGGAGGTGGGGTGGGGGTAGTGGTGACTTCTATTGCCGCAAATGTTTAACTTTTCATACCTATTTTACACATATTCGTGTTTACCAGGGGGGAGATCTGCATTTTCCAAGGGGGGTCCATTGTAACTTTTTCCTTGTTTTAGTGTATACATTTTTAACCTTGTAAATCCCCCCCCCCCCCCCCGACAGATCCGTGCATGAATTTACATCATTAATAAAATTCAGACTGGTATATAATGAATTAAGCATGTGTAAAATAGATATAAGACGTTCTGAGTTATAGGTCACAGGGTCTGAGAATTTCATAATCAATTTGATTAATGTAAATTATAGAATTATTTTGACTATTTCCTTGGAAAGTCGCCCAATATGTAGGAGCGTGTATTTAGAGGCAAACACCTTAGTGCGGGTATTACTGTCTCATGACAGCATCTAGTTTTTCTTATGTAAAAGCAAAATCATATTTTCTTCATTATTCATCAATTCATGATACATTTAGACAGATTATTTTGTAGAAGGTGCTTAAGAATACATGAATGATTCCTGTTCTATTTTTTCTACAGAGTAATGAAGTTCCAAATAGTTCGTGGTGTGAGCATGAAGGATTAAAAAGAAGTGTAAGATTTCTGAAGGATGAGGGGTTGCAGTTAGACAACCTTATTACAGACAGACACAGACAGAATAACAAGTGGATAAAGGAAAATCTTGATGGAACAAACCACTTCTATGACATCTGGCATGTTGCCAAAGGTATCTACTAATAAATGAAGAATAAACGAGGTGAACAGTATGGATATATTTAAATTATATTAGAAATTCAAGTAGTATAAATATTTACAAGAATATATATATTTTAAACAAATTTCTGATGAGTTGAACACATGAATAAAATAATTTTGTAGGCACAGGAAAGAAACTCGATGCTTTAGCCAAGGTCAAGGATTGTGAAATTGTTGGTAAATGGAAGCAGTCCATCACCAATCATATGTATTGGTCTGCAGGTTCTACACCAGATAACAACGGGGATATGATTGTTGCCAAGTGGGAGTCGGTCATACAGCATTTGCAGAACATCCACAACAACCACCCAAATGCTCTTTTCCGAAGATGTCTTCATGATCCCCTGGAAGAAGATGACGAGCGGGAAATAGAGTGGCTTAATCCTAGTATGATTTTTTATGCCTTTTCAAATACAACAAATTATTCATATTTTAATCATTCTGTAAAAAATTTCAGTCATCCAGAATACATTACAAATGTAATTTATATTTATGTATATTATTTCTTTCTTATTTTTAGCAAGCAAAGCCTTTGAGCAATTGGAAAAGATTCTTTTAAACAAGACCCTCCTAAAAGACATATCAAGACTTTCCAGTCAGGAGCAGACTTCTTCGTTGGAGGCATTTCATAGCTTGATTCTCCATTTTGCTCCCAAGAATACAGCCTTTTCTTATCTTGGAATGTTATGTCGGTGAGTGAAATGCTATAATACATTCCAACACTGAGGTGGCCGTATGATGAATATTACTGTTTTAAAAATAACTGGCACTCACTAATATTCTGAATTGCTGATCATTGACCAAGAAAGACACTATATGCTTTAATTAATTTGTGATTTTTTTTTTATTTTTTATAAATAACCAGACTCTACTTGGCTGGACTCCATAATAATGAGAATTCGGAACGTGACCAAATGTTCACCAGACAAAGAGAACCATGCTTCACAATCAGGTACCCAAAAGGAAGGAAAGGACAAGCTGTTGTACGTCCTGACAAAACTAAGCCTACCTATGGTATGGGATCATATTAAAGAAACTTTAAGTTGATCTTGAAACATTCATGTGTTAAACGTTATTTTTTTCATATAAAAACAGTCATTGTGTTAATCTTCTATATCACCTGATTTTTTAAAATTAAATCGTTATTGAAGGAGACAGTAAGTTGAAAAACTTTGTATTGTAGATTATGCCATGCACCTCCAACAAGAGTTGGTTGATCGATATATCCAAGGGCCAAGCCAACTACGAGATTCCATCGATAATCTACGTGCAAGGGTACCTAATTTTCTATCCGCAAATGCAGATCAACCGGACAAGGCAGAGGCTGTGGAGATGTTCGTGTCCAGATATAACAGATGATGACACTTTATACATCTATTTGTGTCAATATACTGTGCTCTGTAATTTGATTGTTACAACCACATAAAATTGTAAATGTATACCATAATTAACTCCTTAGAAACCTTTTGTGCAGAATACACAAACATCTTGTTGTTAATTACCAAAACCAGTATGTACTTATTTTATTGCCTTTGAGGTCTGACGGGTTGTAAGAACTGTTTGTTGAGAAATGCTACATTTGGCAGTTTTTTTTAATTGTTGGAATGAGCTTACCTAGGTTTCTAGTTATTTGGCCACTCAAAGTTTTTGTATTGCCCATCATTTGCAGGAAATGCATTTCTAATGCGTGACATTACACAGGCTGGTAAAGGAGTACAGTTGTTCTTTCCCAGGAAAACCCAACACCATCTTAATAATTGACGATAAGCCACATATCTAAACTTCCTTAAATATTGCACATTTTTGTAAAGATTGTGCTTAATATACATAAAATGTGTTGGACATTTAAATGTGGATGAATATTTATTTTTTGTTTAATTTGTATTTCATGTAAGGTTTTATTTATTGGCACTCACTGATGCTGGGGTTTCTGTATCCTTCCCCAATCTTGTCTGTAAGCATAATATGCTGTTTCTAAAACCCATGGATCCAAACAAACACTTTGAAAACCAGGATGTGATGTTATGCAAATAAAATCTTTCTTGGTCAGCTCATTTCCTTCATTTATCTTAGCTTTTGTTTTGTCACATTCTTGACAGCAAAACCTGTTGTCTGGACCTTCAATAGGTTGACATGTACCACATGTACACCTAAAATGCATAGATACTAATTATTTATTGCCATATTTGGAGAAGAGTTTTAGGGATGAAATAGTTTTAAGAAATTGTTGAATGTTGACCCAGTACAACTTGTTACAAAGGAAAGTTTGAATTGAATTCTGGTGATTATGGATCATTTTGATTACAACAATAATAATTTATTGCTAACTGAGGGATCATCCTGTGAAGTTACCATAAGACACGTGATGTCTTGCATCCTCCAATCTGTTGAGTCTTGCATTTTGACACAACACATTTATTTTGGTCGAAGACTGGAATTCTGTACACTTTAATAAACATACTTTTGTCAAAGTAGATATAGATACACTGAGTTTTTGCATCTTTCTAAGCAAAATAATATAAGTGAAAATAATTTGTATGGTGATTGATGCATTCCCTTTATGGTTTTCTATGTCCTTGTAATACTCATAAGCGCTTGATTTCATGGGGTGGTTTCTAGGGTGTCTAAATACTATTGTTAAAATTTTAAAAAAAAATGCTGAAATTAGCACTGTTTATATAAATATTATATTACTATGTGTATTATTATATTTTTTAAATTTGCCAATTTCAGCGATTTTTGCTCTTTATTCTAAGATTGAAGTTATCAAGACACACACAAGACCCCACATAATGTACACAAAATATACCCTCCTATTCCTAAACCAAGCGCCTGTGTCAGTCTATAATTCTTAATCGTGTATATAAGGTAGGTTCACAAGTATAAATTACTTGACGCTAAAGGTCGAGTGTCTAACCTATAATTTCTCAAAAGTAATCTCGGCGTGAAATATGGAAAGGGGCGGGGCGAGGGGTAGTTTACCACATCTACGAAATCTCGGATTAAACGAACAAAGATGTTAATTTCATGTTTTGAAATGAATTATAACATCAAGTTTATGGTACTATTGATTTATTTGCGATTTATTAGACATTATTTAAACAAGTGCTTAGTCACTATAAACACAAACCACGAAAGATCCTCCTCCTCTCTGACTTGGGTGGAATCTTGAGCCGCGCTGTTTCGGACGCCAGAGACACTGTCAGCTCTCCGAGGCTCAAAGTGATAAGGTCGAACCCCCATACAATCTCTCTGATCATTCTCCTCTCCGCTATCTATTTCGTTAATCGGCTCCGGTAATGAATTGTCGCTGTCACTGTTAAAAGAGTCGTCCGCAGACATGTTGTGTTCTTGATGTGACGTCACACTGATAAAGTCTCGTGTACTCTCATAAAATCTCGCGTTCGCTCGGCAATCTCCGTAGAAAGAATTCCAAGGTATGTTTGGCAAGAATAAATACGTGTTTTAATCGCCCAGAAATTTATTTTTTATGAAAACTAACGTCTATTCAACAAATCAAAGTCTTTTATTTTCGCTGTTTATGAGATGTATGTCTTATTATGAGAACATATCCTGGTTAAAGCTTCTGAAGTGTCAATATAGTAAAAATGTGCCAGGACCCGCTCTTTAAGAACACTTCCTGTGACGACCGGAAGTGACGGCGGACGATTTTAACCCAATTGGATTTGCATTCTTATCAAGATCTATCATCCCTGTAAGTTTGGTGCCTTAATCTCTTACCGTTTCTGAGATCTCACTCGGATTTAATATTTTTGAAAAAAGCGGAAATCGGACATAACTGACGACCGGAAGTGAATTTTGAAAAAATGAAAAAAATGTCTCGAGGTATTTTCATTCTCTATCATCCCTGTGGAAAATTTTGGTCAAGGAACAAAGGTAATCTTGGATTTTGATTAAGCATGAAAGCTTATTGTAATTTTAAAAAAAGTTATTCTTCTAGACTTAAATTTAAAATCTAAAACAATTTAAACCTGGATCAAAATATAAATAGCCTGTTCGATTTTGTATCAATTTTGTACATGCATGTATGCATGCATCCATTTTGAAGCTTCAAGGCAGCAGAAAAGCCAAAAATAGTCTTTAAGCAAGGCAATAACAAAAAGATGTATATGATTTATTATAGGGTCAATGAATATTTCTGTTATTGTCGTCTATTTTTATGGACTATCATGACTGGCTGTAGGTCTGGGTAGGCTTAGCTCAGTAATTGGAACATTTGACAAGTTATACGGGGGTCTAAATTGATGATCCAATTATAAATTATATATGTTTTCCTTCTACACCTATAATAAATGCTTTAAAAATTGTATTTAGTGA